AAATATCACTACATCAATACAGAAAAAAATTCAAAAAACAAATCAGAAGAATTAACAAAGCCATAATACAACTTAAAAACTATAAAACATTTTTATCTCTTATTCAATAATTGGATACCTTATACAAAGCATCCAATAGTCACAGCAACTTATTATTAAAAGGCCTTCAAAAACTTAAGAAACTTCTAATTAAGAAAGCTCTATTACAATTCTAACAAGAACTATTGGATGAATACTGATCAAACTTTAAAAACATAATTGAAAACTTTTATAGTAAACTAAAAAATTACATCAAAAAAGCACTTGGTTCAATCAAAGTCAAATTAAACCTTTACAAAATTTATAATAATAAAGAATAAATAAAAAACAATCCAGATCTTATATAAAAAATCATTAACAAATATTTTCAAAATATTTTTTTGAAGCAGAAACTTCAACTTAGACCAATTTTCAAATTGGCATAAAAAATACTTTATCAAATCAATTGACCAAGAAATATATAATGAAGTTACTCGATTCTTTAATTAGACTATAATTCAAAAAGCAATTAACAAACTATCCAAAAACAAAACTCCAAGGAAATAAGAAGTTAACTATAATATTATTAAACTAATAGGTAAGAAAACTATCTAATATACTATATATCTTTTATATTTAATCGGATTCTATTATCTGCATCTATTTCCAAATTGTAAAAACAAACAACTATTACTCTTATTTCTAAAAAGCTCATCTAAAGTTACAAATTTAATAACACAAGATCCATATCTTTTATTGATTCAGTTAAAAAAGTTTTCACTAATATAATTAATAAGAGATTAATTAAGATTCTTAAATCAAATAATATTTTGTCAAAACTTAACTTTACTGGCCTTTCAAACCAAAGTATAATGGAACCTTTAACAATAATCCATTTTGTCTTAAATGTAGCCAACACAAATAACAAAGAATTCTGATTTGTATTATTAGAAATTGCAAAAGTCTTTAACTCAGTATTTATATTAGATATTAAGAAATCTCTTGAAAGAATCAACTGCTCTACAACTATTATCAACTTATTAATCAATCTTCTCAGCAATAGAAAAGTCTTTATTAATACATTATTGAAGCAACAAAACCTTTCACAGTAAATAATGAAGTGAAGCAAGGTAAAACACTATCTTCTATTATTTGAATATTATTTTACAACTCTTTTGTCTTCAAATTAGCCTGTCACAAATCTATTCAAAATTATACTGCCTTCAATATTTTGATATATATGGATAATCTAATTCTTATTGTTAATAACAAATAGTCAATCAAAAGTCTCTTTTCAATAGCTAATTAATTCTTTACAATAAATAATATTATATGCAACAAAGACAAGATTAAAGTAATCTTTAATATTAAAGTTAAATATGGCCTTAGTAACTCAATCAAATTTGATAACTATTTAATTCAAGTATTCAAACTTCATAAAAGCATTAAATACCTGAAAGTACTTATTTCTTTCAAAAATTTACTTAAGTTCAATAGAAAAGTTCTCAATCAAACTACTGATACAATACTAAAAAAACTCTTCAAATATAATTGAAAAGATGAGATCAAACAACAGATCTGCAACTAAATAATTATGAGCAAGTTCAAATACTTCCTCTTCTTATCTTATCTCAACAAATTTACTTTCAATACACTTCAATTTAAGATCAACAAACTCATTAAATTGGTCTATAGAATCATATCCAGATACTTAAATACAATTCTCATTAGCTATAGTAATTTTAATATAATCCTTCTTAAAGAAAGGCAAAAATCTTCACTAGTTGGCAATCTAATATTCAAATTTATTATTTCAGCAACTAGAAAATATATCTTTCAAGACTTGTAATTGATTCAAAAAAATAAATCAATCTGGTTTTGTCCAATTTGCAATCCAAAGAAGTTTAATTAGAACAATTGGATCATATATATAATTAAAATTACAAAAAATTATAAAATTCAAATCTATTCAACTAACTGCTTAACATGTCTCAACAATACTAAAAACTTTATTGGTCTCTTATTTAAAAGTTTATAATTTCTTAACAAAACCACAATAATCAATATAACAAATGCCTTAAATATTAAATTTACCAATCAACTTCTAAAATATAACAATATATAAAAGCTCTTATAGTTTCAACTTATATCATACACAAGGATAGTATGCTGTAAATCAGAGTTCAACTGATTTAAAGATTTTAACAATTCAAACAATTTTCTTGAAACTTATAGTCCAATATCAAATCCTAAATTATTATTCTGATACCTATACAATTTCAACTATATTATCAAAATATATAAGAGAAGTTATAGCATAAATGAAAGAGCAAACCTTAAAGGAAAATACTATTTTATTAATCAAACAATATTCTGTCCCAGTGCAATGGCTGTTCAATAGGAACATATTCTGCTGACTTTTGCATACTGTCCTTTATAAGTTCCATAACATCTTTATTATAAGTAGTTTTTAATCCTAACAGTGTTTAAACAAATATTGATTATATAATATAATTAGCAAACTGTTTATTACATTATAACAAAGAGAAGACATTTTTTAATTAATTAACAATTTTTTTATCTTTCCTTCCATTTTAATACTTTAAATAATTAACTTCTGCTAACAATATTATCTCTAACTTTATCAAAACAAGATTTTTGTAAATAATATAAGAATTGTTTTATTTAATCCAAAATATTTCTTAGAAGATTTCCTTTATATAGTAATAGATATTCTATATTGGTACCTATTAAATTGTATTATAAAAATAAGAAATAACAAGAATATTATTTAAGAAGTTTTTAACTATCCAAGAAGAATGACAAAAATTAACTTTATTTTAATAATACTAAGAATTAATAAATTAATATAAGACAAATCAATTTAAATTAGGTATATTAACTTCAAGTCTAACTTGAGATCTGATGATACTTTTCAATAGATCAATCTACTACTTTACTTTTCTGAAAATTTATTAATTAACAATCTACAATTAAGTAATAGTATTAAATAATGCAAAAAAATTCTATGCATTATTAAGACTTATATAATTTGTAAAGTTTCTTAGTTCTAAAAACATTTGAATATATTTATAAATTCTATGGCCTCAATATCATTAACAAATCCAATAAAAAAATAAAAAGCTCCAAAGTTGACAAATACAGTAATCTCATTATTTTCAAAATCAAACTATTCTCAAGAACTCTTTCTATAAAAAAAAATCTTTACAAATTATATTCAAATTAATATCCAGATTTATATTGTTTCAGATGTAGTTTATACATCAAAAACATTCAATATGTTTTCAAATATCTATTAGCATTAGAGAATATTAATCAACTTATTAATATTATCAATAATATCCTTTATCCTAATGGCAATTGCAAACCAATTTTACATATCTGACAGTTAGTAGAGCTGGCAAGTGATATTATTGACAATATTTTTTTTACAACTAACTTCTTCAACTAGATTGAAATATCAATTGAGATTTTAACTTGTTTATACAAATTAATTTAAATATTCTACTGTGTTATAACAAATACTTCTCTTCTTACTAATATCAAATAGAACAATAATTTTTATAATAATTTATCAAAACAAACTATCAAAAATATAATCAAGTCCAAACTATTCAACAATTTCTTTTTTATATTAACATCAATTATTATAGATATACTAATTATAGTTGCAGACTTATATATTCAAAGTGGATTTAATTTCATCAAATATATTTTCAAACTAATTTCAGACCATCTCAACTTCTTTACATTCAATGTTGATTTGATAATCATAGCTGCTTAAAGTCTCTTAACAAGATATATTGTTTTAAAATTTCTTTTCAATATTAGTCTAGTGGTTATTGTAAGCAAAGCATTTAACTCATTGTATTATTACACATGAAAAATATTGTTTCTTTCAAAATGTATATCTATTATTATACAAATTAAATAAAGAAATAATGTTTACTTACAAAAAAAAAATATTATTATTATTATTATTAATCTTTTATGGCTGCCAAAATCCAAATATCAATTCTATTGAAAATCTTTAAGATAAATTAAAATGTGAAATTCACAAGCATATATCATTATCAACTAATGAAACTGAATTGTTTGATTTTTTACAAGAATGATTCAAAATTAATAGCTTAATTTATTTATTGAAATCTTGTAATTGATATGTCTAATTGTATCAAAGCAATTAAAAAATTTAAAGGAAATCCTACGAAATATCAAATAGATAATTGAAATTTAAAAAGTTATAATTTGGAAATATAGTATATAAAAATTAAAAAAAAAATTTTTTTCGTTTTTTGATTATTGCCAAATTTGATCACTGATCGGTGACTTTTGTCAGGGAAGTGTACAGCCGATTTAATATGTGCATATCTCCGGTTTTCGATAGCAATTTTATACATATATATATAAATCAATTAGCGACCAATCAAAAAAGTGTCCGCAGACTTTTGGCCGGTGTCTGGATATTTTAATCAATTTTTATTATAATATCATTAAATTATAATTTTTAATGATTTATTATTTTAGTATATTATCAGTATTGCCAGTATTAGTTCATCGAACATCTTAAAATGTTAAACATCGTGTTTTATTAACATACTGTATATTCACTATTCATATTCTAACTGGTTAAATGTAGTCATGGGGTTATCATCGTTAATATATGTCATCAAGATTCTAATACATTGTTTATCGCTAACAGTTTTTCTCATGTATTATGTTTGTTAAAGATTGTTAATAAATTGTAAAATGGACTAATCAACGATATATTCATCTCGTGAAATAATAAATATTTCTGATTTTTCACATTATTCGCTTGATTTCACTTTACTAAAGATTTTTCATATATTTACTAGTCTTTCGTCAACAATTTTTCCGGTGACTTTTCATCTTTTTTTAAAGAATTTTGTGACGTCTTTAATCGTGTTTTTGTCGAAAGCTTCTCTGGTATATTAACTGGTTCATTTGTCAATAATTTCTCCGGCGTTTTTAGCTAGTTCATTTGTTAAAGATTTTTCTGGTGTATTTACTCGCCCTTTTGTCAATGATTTCTCCGAAGTCCTTGATTGTTCTTTTACCAATAACTTTCCCGGCGTCTTTTCTTGTCCTTTTTTCAACGGTTTTTCTGATGCCTTGACCTTCTTTTTTATCAATACTCTTTCCGGCGTTTTTACTTCCTGTGCCGCTGATTGACCCTTTCCCGCTACTTTCCCAGGTACCTTTAACTGTCTTTCGATCATTCTCTTCTCTTCTCGATTTCCTGCCAGCAAAAACAATTCTTTTTCCATATTATTAATATTTTCAAGCAATAAATATCTTTTAACCATTTTATTTGCAAAATTTCTTATTTCTCTTTCTTTTCCTTCTAAGCATAACCCAGCGATGTATGCCTCCATGGTTTCACCCAATGTACCATTAGACAAAGTTGTATTATTATTAGTAAGCACCATCGAATCAAGCCCAATATACCGTGCAATTTTTGAGAGCTCCTCTCTCGAGATCAAGCGACTAACTTTTTGAAACAACTCCGCATTTGTAATTTCGGGGCATTGTTCGTGGAGCGCAAGCGTTAAATGGAAATTTATGGTCCTGTCACCAAGAAATGCCAAACGACGTCGTTCTTTACCTTTGTTACTTAGAATAGTGTAGCGCAAAGAATCTGCTTGAATTTCTGGCAGGAATCTCGGTAATACTTTTTTTTTTGCAGCTATCTGTAGACATCTTATGGAGTTGATCGATGAAGAAGTAAAGAGGGGGCGTAGTTTAAGAGGATATAGGAATAGAGACATTTTTGATATTTTAGGTGAAATACGTTTTTTTTTTCTCACTAATAATATTGTGGGTTAAGTATTTCTGAGAAAGTTATAATTGTTTTTTCATTTCATTAGTCGAAGAATGAGAACGTTTATATAAGGGTTTTTGAGGAGTTTTGTTTATTACTGCGTCTTCTCACATTTCTAATTATGGATGATTACTGCTTTGTTTTGTTCTTTAATTACATTTTGTTTTATTTACCGGGTTGCGTAATTTATTTCGTGCCCTTATGCAGGTGGAATGTAATTGAATCCAAATTTTGACTAATATGGTCATAATCTAGAGTTTTATAATGACAAAGGAGGAACGATAGACGGGTAAAGAGGCAAGGCTAACTTAATCTTTAATTAAGAATCGGGTACGTCCATTCATTCCAAATATGGTCATCAAATATATTCATTAGGAAAAACCAACCGAATTATAGCCAGAAGTCTTAGAAAAGGTCTCAATTTTACGATTTTAAACGCATCTTAATAAATTGTGTTCTCATTTAATTTTAATTAAAATTTTAGAATAAAGAAATATAATTTTTATGACTTTACACACACATTTACGTTTTTAATACCTTGAACTTTAATTTCAAAAACCGGCTTATGAGTATAACGAGGAATAATGAAAATTGGATTTCCCATGAGAATTGAATCGTTATGGACTTTCGGGTAGGCAAAGGAAATTGGTAAGATAACCATTAAAACCTATACTGTATATACAGCACTTAATAATGTTTAGTGAAAGAAATAAAAAATCTGTATGTCACGGTATATGAATGTTCTACTATAAATAAATAAATAAAGGTGATGATGACAATATAAACCTTAGATTTAGTGAAACTCTTAAATAAGTGATTTACTTCTCAAAGCATCATCTCATCATTTATGATCTAATCTAACATTTAACCTTTTATTTGAATGTGATAAAAATGCTAGGCAAAATTTAAGCGAGCAATTAGAGATAATATAATTTCAATTGCACTGCATTAATACCAAAACCTTTCGAGAGTATCTTAATGTTATCTTCATATGATAATATTATTCACCATTACCAATGATTTTTAATAGAAAAATACATGATTAATAGGTTCGCGACAGTATCAAGGTCAATACAAAGATCGAATATTTATTCACAGGATGATATTATTCACCAATATCTATTCTCCTTTGTGCAATATAATTAACAAATCAAGGCACTTACTTGGTGAGTGATAGAGGCACAGACCATATGCATAGAAGTTTCCTTTAATCATTACTGGCCAATTCTTTCATGAGGATGGTCACCGTAGTGTACGTTATAAGAAGTCGAAGGTGTCAATCCTCCAAAAACGATCAAATTTTGTTTTTTTTTTTTTCGATTATTCCGACATTTCACAAAGAATTGCCGCGCACAATAATTTTATTAAAATAAATGTTTGATGGAATGTAGCGCAGTAATTTTTGAAGAGAAGAATAAATTTATTTATGCATCATGTTTTTTTGGTTTCATTTTTTCATGTATTCTTCGATATATATATACAGCTAAAGAGTATTGAGGGTTTAAAGACTTTAGAAAACTTTCGTTCTTGTTTCTTTAACTTTTTACAACACAACGCACTACCTTTGATACATGCAAAAGAAAATAAAAAGTTATTTGTTTCCAAAATTTCTCTTTGCTACGATATGTTTATTGATCCTCTTTGGCAGAAAATGATTCCGTGTTATTCGGAACAAAAAATAAAACCAATTATACTAGTTAAACCCACACCATTTTTTAAAGCAGAGGCAATACCACTTCATTCGCAAAACATAAAAACCAATTCTTGCTCAAATCTTGAAAATTTCTCATCCATTCAACCTCTTCTTCAATAATCCCCATCTGTTCTGCAAACTCTTAACATTTCTATTAGGCAATTTTTCCGCGATAACAGCCCACGGAATCGTTGGCATGAGGCCCATAATACTATCCACCAGGATCTTGTCCTCTTCGTTCGACCAAGGTTCACCAGAAGTCGATTTACTAGCTCCACCAGAATCGGCTTTCTTTTTTCGTGATCCACCTGATCTCGCACCACTAGACCTTCCCCTATTTGAGCTTTTGACAGCAGTCGAAGTTTGGCTGGTAGTCGACGTGGTGCTTGCCAGAGGAGATGAACGACTTCGTGTTTTAGGGCTTGTTCCGATTTCAGTGACGTCGTCTTTAGCACGTTTTCGTTTGACGAGTGAAGGTGGAGATTGTTCCTGTAATTAAGATATTGATAGCATGAAAAGAGGATGTGGAAGGACAGTGACAAATTGCGTAGACGAAAAGATCATAAAGATAATTTTCGAATCAACAAGATTTTCCGGCATAATTCAAAGAAATATTAATGACGATTATACAGTACTTCAATTGTCTTTTCATGAACCTTTTCCTCAGCTTCCTTAACTCCTTCCATTTTTTGTTAAAACTATTTGTCACTTATAGTAAACAGAGATGATATGGCGAAGGAGAAAGACAGAAATTTACGATCTGAGTTAAAAAAAGTTAAGTCGCATGGAGAAATCAGTATTATTTAAGCAAAACGTTAGATGCCTAAGCAAGAACTAACACATGATCGGACCAATTCCTGTTCCAATGCCTTGAAACTCAAACGATCCGATTCCTTTCAAAATTTTATTTTTTGAATTGCATGATATCATTTTCTGAAAATTTTTAATTCAAAAGAAAATCTTTTTTTGGCGTAATGTTCAAGAAGCATGATAAATTAAATGATCTTGCAACGATTGTGTTGCGATTTCAGAGAAGTGTGAATTGCATCCGGTTAGTCGTCTATTGATAATTCCGTAGAAAATGCGAAGAAATCGTCACGAAGAAAATCAGGCAAGGAATCTTTTTTCTCGTTGTATCTGACGAAATGCAGTAAATTTGGTAATATTCTTTAGTTTTCTCCTTTTTTGATGCCCTGGTTTAAATCATCTCGGTCTACTAAGACTTCGCATTCCACAGTCGTATCGGCACTAACTTTAATATCATGACAAACTTTATTCGCGGATCTTATCTGATTCATTTTTTTTTTTCCATTAGTGTTTGTGTCATTCTTTTTTATTATTATGTAAAATTATTATAATATTTCATAAAATCAATTCTATTTTAGGGTAGAATCGGGTTTTTTTTTGTACAACAGTGACTTCACTCATCGTTACACGAACATGAAAATACTGTACTTCGAGAACTAAACATATGTTCCATCCTTCAATAAAATGTTTCATGATTTGACGGAAGAACTTTCGAAATTTTCATTTAATGAAGAGGTGGAGGTCAAAAGCAGCAATGAAAGCATTTCTAAAAGTAATGAGAAGAAAGCTGCCGCAGAGGAAAGGATAGTGTTGAACGTTGGCGGTATTAGGGTGAGCTCGAATTACAAATGTTTGATTAAGAGAAGCATCTTGAAGGGTTCAAGGATTCGTTCGTTTGATTATTAAAATTACCTATGAAAAACTTTTTCTATAGTACGAGACATTTCGTTCTACTTTAGTTGCATACCCCGAGACACTTCTTGGTACAATGTTTGCGGAGCGAAATAAAGAGATGCTTCACCCCACAAACGGCAATGAATATTTTTTCGACCGGGATGGTTACTTATTTCGATACATCCTACAGTATTATCGCACCGGCAAAATTCATTGGCCAGAATTACCTAACGCTCAAAACTCCATTACTAGCTTGATTCGTGATGGGACGAGAAAAGAACTTTCACCAAGTGTGGCAACAAAAGATGGTGATGATATAATACCAACATACATATTTCCCATTTCCCGTTCTGAACTCGAGCAAGAAATGCAATATTTTCTAATTCCATTACCAAATAGCGACGACGACGATGATTCACATAACGGTGATCCATTGTATTATAATCCTTTGACATTTGCCAACAAAGCTGTGGTGGATAACGTCAACGGATTTCTGGTTGCTCTTCGAAACGTAATGCATCAATTGGCTGGTCTATTTGAGAAGCACATTTCGATCACTTTCTTTCACGATAGACAACCACCAACATTCAACCTGAACTCAAATTTGAGCATTATTAAAAACGAGACTGCTCCATTCCGTGATGTCATAAAACAATTGTTGTTACCCTATGCAGGAGTTGGATATACCTTATTAATGAACTTTGAAAAAGAGGTGGAACAATATTTAAAGGGTGAAATACCTGAGCTGACCTGGTCGATTGAAAAACCGCCTGGCTTACCCAATAGATTTACCCTACATCTTAGTTTAAATGATAAGTTTTTGAAACAACAGATTCTGAGGAATAGTTTCCTGGTCAATGTTATTGGAGGAGGGGGAATGGCTGGATCATCGACAAACGACAGAACGAAGGAATTTAGCAAATGATAGAAAAATGGAACCATATTGACCGGAAAGTTTTATTAAAGTACCTGAATTCTATGAGATTTCGCTTCTTTAAAATTAATACTGATAAACACTTTTTTTTGTTGGTGGGATATTATTATTGATTGGTGCCTGACATTTTAAACGTTGTGGAGATATTAACTTGATTAGCTTTTTTTTTAATTTTCATTATTCTTTCTATTTCAAACGAAAGAAAAACGATTGATATTTAAATGTTTTACATTGCATAAAGATTTTTTAAACTCTATTGTACATAATTAGAATGAATAAAACAAACAAGTTTAAAGAAGAGTTAGAATATATGTAGAATAACGGACACGCCACCACGTGAATTTGGTGCCTAGAAAATGAATGTTTGTTTCGTAATCGCTTCACTTGATCGAAAAACATCCACAACTTAATTTTTAATTATCTAAAAAATAACATTATTTTTTTTATAGTTAAAAGAATCATTTATTTATAAGAAAAGCTTAAACAAAAATTCTTAAAATATCTAAAGAAATAAATTTTAATTAAAATATTTTATAAAAAATATTTTATAAAAAGAATGCTTTAATGAATTTCTTTTTTATATTATAGATAAGTTAATCATATAAAATAAATAATCATTTCTCAAATGGTATAATAAAAAATGGTGATTTTTATTTAAATAATTATGGTTTGTATCAAAAATCAAATTTTTTATAATACTTTTATATCACAACTTATATAAAACTAAAATTTGAAATTTGAAATGCTGTAACTTGGAAGTTTTCAAAAACAGTTGTATATACAGTATTTTTATGTTTATATAAAAAATATTTAATTTCAAAAATTTATAATTCTTATTATGATATTGAATAACATATTGTATATTATATAAATATTTATTCAAGTAAATAAAAATTTAAAATGATTGACCTGTGAATTAATAACACAGTGAATAATGCTTCTAGATCTTCAAATGCATATTTCTAATTTAATATTTATAGAAAAAAAAAGTATATACTGTATATTTTTATATAAAATTTAATAATTATAAGCTAAAATCAAATTACAATCTCAATTAATATAACAAATTCTATTATACAATATGTTAATATAAACTTTTATCTAAATTCAATTGATCTATAAATTAAATTTAAATCAAATCAAATCAAATTTTTAAATTTTTAAATTAATCAAATTCAAATTAAATTTAACTTAATTTGTATAAATTATTAAATAACCATTTGATTTTATTTAAATAAAACTAACTAGAAAATTATAATAAAACTTGATATCTTTAATTAATATATAAAAGATCAAGTTAAAAAAAACTTAATATTTGTTTTCTTTATTTCTTTAATAATTTTTTAATAAGTTTTATATATAAACATACTTTTTTTAAAAAAATTTTTTATTATTATTATAATTTTATTATTTACGTAATTACTTTTGTTCAATAATTTAATTATTTTTTAAAAATAAATATGAAAACTTATTTAATAATATATAGTATTTATATAAATGAAAATAATAATTTAACAAGTTATAACAATAAAAAAAAACTTCTACATATTTACCATTGATTTCTTAAAATTTCCTTTTATAGTAATTTTCTTGAAAGAAATATTTTTCTCTCTCTTTTCAATATGTTATTTATATTATAAGCTTAAGAATATAAAAATTTTAAAAACCACTGTTATATAGAATATTATAAAAAAATTTAAATATAATTAAATTAATATCTATAGAATAATTTTATTTAGAACTACTTTATTAATTAATTTATAATTTAATTTGATATTTTAATTTTTAATAAAAATTTGATATTTTACTTTTTAGTTTCTATTTAATTTCTGTTTAAAAAATTTTAAAAAGTAAAATAAAAGAAAAAATATTAATATTAATATAATAAATTTTTAATTAAAAATTTCAATAAATTTATATCTTTTAAAATATAAATTAAATTATTATTATTATTGTTGTTGTTGTTATTGTTGTTGTTATCATTATTAAATAAATATTATTTCTTTATTTGATTTGTATATTAAAAGTATATATCATGAAAGAAACAATATCTTTTATTTGTAAGTATAGTAAGTTTAATACTAGCTTGCTTATAGAAATCAAATAACTAATATTGAAATAAATTTTAAAATAATATATCTTGTTAAGAGGTACTGAGCAGCTATATTTACCTACTTAGTGTTGAAGAAATTAAGATTAATATAGTTTTGAATTAGTTTAGTAATACATTTGAAAAAGTTAAGATTGTTTTGAATATAGGCATCTGTGATTAAGGTAGGTAGGTCAACTGTTGTTATTAAATCTTGTACTGATAAAGATTTTTGTAAATTTGATTTAGAGATTATTTGACTGTCTTTAGTTGCATTGATAGGAGATTTGTCTTTCTATTTTATATTATTTTGTAAAGAGGTATTGGCTATAGCACATTGTAATTTTTATATAGTATTATATAGTTGTATTAAAACTTCAATTAATACTTGTGCCCAGTTATGGTTCCAAAAATTGAAATCGAATAGAATCGAACAGAATCGCATGAGGTTCAGAACACTATTAAAAATGATGGTGGGGTATACCCCACCTATTAAATTTAATATAAACTTGAGAATTGAATATAGAATCAAATAGAATTGTTAGGATCCTTATGCCCAGTTATTAAAGTCTAATAGAGAAACAATATTGTTAGTAGTGCTACATGCTAGCTTTATGACTTTCCACATGTAGATTATCATTTATAAATTCCTGTTGGAGTGAAGAATAAGATTGATTTGCTTAATAATTTGATTAGTTTTTTCTAAAACTATTGAACATTTGAATATATGTTATATGTTTTTGATACAAAGTTTACATCATGGACAGTAGAGATCTGAATATTGATCTGGATATTGTTGATAAAGGTTCTCTTATGTAAAAAGAATTTCTAATAAAAACTTAATGTGAAAGGCAATTAGATTGCTATATTTGTTATTTTGTGCATTTTTCAAGATTTTGTTATATTTGTTAATTATTTTGATACCTTGAGGATTGTAAATAGAATCAAATATTTTTAAAATTGATGAGCTTTCTGCTATTATACATGTTTTGGTAATGCTGAGAATCTTTTTGCACCATCTGATGCTAAAATTAAAAAAAATTTTTTTTTTTTTTTGAAGGAGCAAATGGCTATTGCACTATCGTTTATTATTATAATTTTAGACTTACGGGTTACAAGATTTATAACATGAGAAGCATAACATATATCTCTCTTTGCTAGGAAGAGTTAAATGCAGGGCCTGTAAAGGCCACCCCTATGTTTCTTGATACCATTCAAGAAATAAAGTAAAAAAGAATATTTAAAACCTATATTATGGCCTTAAATGGCATCTAGCTACCTAGAAATTAATTTGAATGCCTAATCACATGAAGGCGCTGCAGTCACTTTATACAGGTTTGCCTCCAAGTCATAAGTAGGACTGGCACGCTTGCTTTACAAATGTGACTTGATATTCGACAGGCAAAGTAGTATCAGAAAATTTTTTGTTTGTAATTATCTTTTCACATGAAGACGCTGCAGCCACTTATTACAGTTTTGCCTCCAAGTCATAAAAAGAATTTGGCACATCCATTTCTCAAGTATGGCGAAGTGTTCCATGGATAGAGTTTGGTTTTGGATTGCTTAAAGGTGCTGATACCTAATCTTGTACAATAAGACCTACATTGTCAGAGGAGTAGGCAAGAAACTTTCGTTGTTGTCACCAGCTTGTGTTGCAGGGGTAACTAGAATCCCTGGTCTTCATATATTATTCTACTAGGTTCTCCAATCACCAGCATAACACCTGCAGACTAATCTAGCTTACTGTTAGTTGCATTGGCATTGACTGCCATATCTTTCTGGATACTGTGGGGTGCAACTCCTTGGATACTTTTGGATAATAATAGTTGTACACTGGTTTTTTAGATATATCTAGTCTAACCATCAATAAGTAAACAATACCAGATTAGGTAATGATGGCCATGTTGATCTTTTGGAAGAGGTAAACCATCTGTCCTTTTTTTGAGAAGCCGTGGAGGGAAAACTTTCCATAGCCCACATCCTGTGGAAACCTTGCCACTTCTTATATGGTTCCTAAGAGAAAAGAGTTCATTGGCCAGAGAAGTGATGAAATAAGAGACAGAGTATTAAAAAGAAAGAGAGGCCTAGAGAGAAAAAAACTTCAGGAAGAAGGGAAAATCTCATTTCGGCAGGAATTGGAGAAAGAGAAAGGGGAGGAGAGATGGTTAAATAAAGAGTCTTGAAGAAAGGAAGGGAGAAATAAGAGAAGAGAAAGAGAAGAGAGTATATGGAAGGGAAAGGAAAGAACGAAAAAAGAGTAAACAACTCAAAAGTTTCCTAAAAAGGAAATTTTCAAGCGCAGAAGGGAAGTGGGAAAGAGTTTTTTGTTTTTTATGAATTTTTTTGCAACACCTTATAAATTTATATATAAAAACTTATAAAAATTTTTAAACAAACCTTTTTTAGTTTTAAAATTAAATTTTAAAATAGATTTATCAATAAAGTATTAAAAAAACTTATTATTTTATTTTTTATATTTTAAAAAATATATCTTTAAAATTTTATAACAAATAAATAAATATTTTTTATTTATTATAAAAAATATTTATTCAAAAACTTTTTAAACAAACTATATTTCTTTTATATAATATTTATTTTGATTTCAAAAAAATATTATTATTTTTTATTTGTCAAAAAGAGTAATAACAATTATTTTAACAATTTTAAATTATTCTATATTGTTAAAGGTAAAAATAATTATATAAAAAGACAAATAAAATAGTGAAAAATAATTGGGTTTATTGAATATAATAAATATATCAAATATATCAAGTATATTAGATATATCAAATATATTAAGTATATCAAGTATATCAAGTATATTCAGTATATTTGATATATTAAATATATAATAAAGAAATATAAAAGTAACAAGTAAAACAGGAGATTAAGGGTTATTCCT